CTTGGTACACAATCACGTGTCTTAATAATTGGACACCAACGTTCGAAGTACATAACAGTTTGAATAAGTTGGTCTATTATTAACTAGTAATATACGTTAACAATTTAAAACAACATTAAAGATCACAAATAATTTGATTTACCGCCTATCTACTTAAACTGGTCACTTGACCAAACTGGTGATTATTAAGTATTATTTATTATATTTTAAATTCACAGCATCGTGTAGAAATTAGAGTACTTTACGATTACATTGAGTTTTCGCGTCACAGGAGGCGCTAGGGTAGTTTAAAGTCTATTGACCTTACATCCACTAGCGTCATCTATAGAGCGCAAACATCATTATTTACAAATAAAGTTGTCACTACGGTACATTTGACAATAAATTAGGTATGTTTTTGTAGTTAGTTCCATCGACATATACTAATGGACATGCCTTAGAGATGAGAGTTGTGGCACTCCGAAAGAAAGAGAGGAAACGAAGTTTCGGGTCTATCTTTATCTCTCTCAAAGTACCGTAGTTAAGACGTTATGAGCGAGAAAGAGATAGAGCTAGACCGAAAGCATAGGCCATCTCTTTCACTCTTTTCAAACCAAAAATTACTGCAGATTATACGCGTACGGCATGTTCATTAGTATAGGTATGTCGGTGGTCAGTTCTTACAGAAGCCTTAGTACGATTTTTTAAGTAATCGAAACGGGTACGTGTTCATTCATTGGAGCCGGCCACGGAGGTCCGAACGCGTACTCGAAACTAGGCTTAAGCCCACAGGTTTCTGTACGTTCGTAAGAAATGTTAAATTATTGGAAGTTTTTTTTTTTATTAGGTTTGTACACACGGCTACACATCGAGCTTTACATAACCAGTATAAACTGAACGTTAAATGTGCGGAAAGATGTTGCGACGCGACACCAGGATAAACTGGTTTTGTATAGATTGATGTGTGGCCGTGTGTACCTATATAATATAGTGCCGATTTTGATCACTAATTTCACAGTAAGAACAGCATTTTTGTAGGCAAAATAAGTTGTAGAAGGATAGCAGACGATAGAATTAAATCAACATTTTGTATGTAGTAGCGTCAACTTTATTTATCGAATCAATCATCTATGTAATTAAGTCTTCATAAAAACAAAATATTTAAAATCGAATAAACTTTAAAATCTCTTGATTGACATGATTAAAAGTCGGATTCTGTTCTGATCCATTTCACCGATTCCGAGCGCTGAATGCGAGTTATTTTACTATTTTTACATTACAACGATCGAAACGTAACAGCGTTTAGCTTTGTAATTGGTTGCTTAACTAAGAGCTGGCCAATCAGAGTGCTGAACGCCATGAACGTGTCGATCGTATCAACGTATTAAAAGAAACTCGCGGTAAGCACTCCAATAAGTTTCCAATAGACTAACTGACAGATAAGTTGACGTACTATCGGCAAAGTTTATGGTAATGCACTTTAAACAAAATCCTGGAGCAAACTCGGTATCCACCGGGCGTTTTGCCTGTGGTTGCTCGCGCCAAGTTTATACAAATATCGCCTAATGATGATCGACTGCATCCGATCGACCAATGTCGTCACTGACCTGACTGACCTGATCACTGGACTGACCGAAATACTGACATTTTTTCTTCAATATTAAAATTTTTTGTTTTGACGTTCAAAAATACCTTCTTGGTCTAATTGAAATAAATGATTTTGACTTTGACTACCGATCGACTTTGTCGATTGTACCTGACTTATTAAAAACTGTCAAAATATCAGCCAGTTACGCTGATTGAAACTTATCTGACAGAAACAGGCCCTTAATAACAAAACTAGCAGTTTTAAATTCTGATTGTAATATTTAAGTTTTTATTTATGAATTGAAAATTATTTTATCTATAACACGGACATTACATACAAATTGCCTAAAACTCCTTTATTTTATATGTATTTACAATATCAATGTCCCATTTGGTTGTTGTTGCTAATTTTAAAGAAATATTTACGATCAACAATCACTTATGTCATCCAATATTGGATGTTTCTTTTTGATTCTTCGAAAGATGTAAACAGAACTATGCTTAGTGTTTGCTGTGCTTTATAGTAAACACAGCAACACAATATAGAGCACAATATAGTGAAACAACTGAGTTTTTTTTAATATAGGATAACTAAGTACGCTTTTCCCAACTGGGAATTGAAATCGTTTATTTGCCGCGATCAACGAGACAGTCTTTAGGAAGATGTGTGTGTAAAGAAAGAAGTAGAGCCGAGATTAAAAAAATCACAATATTGGATAACATTAACGATGTACATTTATTAAATAATTTGAATTCAATAAGCAGAAATAAGCGTCAATTTTAATAAATAAGAACAAAATCGATAGCCAAAATTCTCATCGAAAATAAAAAAGTATGAATTAGTTACCTTCTCACAAAATTTACCATAGACACAAAATAGTATCACAATTTTGAAAAAAGAAATATATTGGAAGATCCATAGACAATGTTGATTGTCAAAGATATTTTTGTTGAGGTCCATGTTTAAGAAATTATTATTTTCTGATATCATCAGAGTATTCGACTAGGGGGTCTGGTAGAGACCATTTACCTATTTAAATGTCACATAAGAATATTTATTTGTTGTTGTATCACCGTTAGGATGGCGTTGGCGGCTACTTGGACTATTATCAACTACCTTTTTCTGAGAATATTCTATATAAAATAATGAAAACTATTACAAATAAACATTTATATTAATCAAAAGATGTGATAATTTTACTGACTTCCTACTAAAAAGATTATGAAAAGTCACCAAGTTATAAATTTGCCGGTAAACCTCAAAATTGTTGTAATCACATGCCCATTATCACCTCAAACGCCATCTAGCGTAAACAAACAATATTATCTACAAGAAAGTAAAACGAGCCGAGCTCTCACCTCCCAAACTAAGCAACATCACAAATAAAATAATTATACAAAAAAAATAAAACATTTTTAGCCAAAGATTGTAGGCAATGTCGATGATAAAAATTATAATAATAAAAATTACCACATTACCGGCTGCGATACTTTAATATACACTAAAGCAGTAGACATTAGAGATGCAAAGAAACTATTTGTTTGGCCGGATACCGGATACCGGATATTCGGCCTGACCACCAGCCGAATATTCGGCCGGCAGTGTAATACCTACATTTTAAGTTTCGTAGGTGCGTGTCGCGTACCGCCACGCCGCTCGCCGTGCAGGTTTTGACTTGTTATTATAAAAAGTTAAAATTGTTTAAAATAATAAAAAGATTCAATTACAACTGTGTCTTTTTAGATTTCATTTAAAATTTACCAAGTTTACTATCCGGTATCCGGCCGGATAGTACATTACCATCCGTATCCGACCGGATAGTAAATAACGGCCGGATACCGGATAGTAACCGAATATTCGGTGCATCTCTAGTAGACATTGTTTGTTTGACGCGCTAACCTCCAGAACTGTACTGGTTCGAATTGAATCATTTTTGTGTTTGATAGACAATAGGGTAGATGACTAATTTTTATTTTAATGTCCGTCTGGTAGATTATTTAAAAACATTACACACGTAATTTTTATTTCCTTACGGAAACGAATACTTTCGAAGATATATTGATTTGAAATATCGCATGACGTCACTTTTGAGTACGATTTATACTCTAAAATGACTCAGTTACCTTCCACACCTCCTAAACTTTGATTCGTTTTATCTAAGTATTGTCTTCTTATACGACAAAATAAAAAAATAAGTGTCTAATATTTTTTCAATACCTAACTGACGGACAAATAACATTTCTAATTTTCATATCTGTCATCATCCCTATTTATCGCGGAAGCCATCGTTACGGCCAACAAGAGCGAGCAGTAGATAGTAAACCACATTCATTAACAATAAGGTACAATTTAGCTTAAACAGAACACTTCATATGAATAATTACATAAAATATCGCAGCCGGTCGTGTATTTGATCTACCTCGCACAGTATTGAACTAGTTACAGTGTACACAAGTATATCTATTCTAGATTACATTATACATACAGATACATACATTGTGTTTACATCACTAATCATCAGCTTCAAGTGGAACTTATCACCATTTTTGATATACATCTGTAACAAATACAATGAGTTTGTTAAAATATTATTTACTTTAAGCCTTTGACTGCCGACAGAAAACTACTGAAGGCAAATCCTCCGCTAACGTAGGTCACCGGTGACCTACGCGGCGGTTAACGTGTTAAGAATTGTTCGGAGAAAATCTATCATAACATAACATCACGCCTTTTTCCCCGAAGGATAGGCGGAGGTGCACACAGAAGTAATACCTACTTTTCACTATTTATGTTATGAGTCCCATGTAATAGGGGGTGAGCCTATTGACATATTCGTAAATAATATTGAAAATATATTTACAGATATTCTCATAATACTAACAGAAACCTCTTTTTAAGTGTGGGAGAGCTATGCTTCGGCGCGAATGGGCCGGCTCGACCGGAGTGATACCACGGCTCACAGAAAACCGACGTGAAGCAACGCTTGCGTTGTGTTTCGTCGTGTGATTGAGGTTACCGGAGGCCAAATTACCTCCCCTTCCCCAATCTTCCCAATTCCTGAATCCCAACGATCCTCAAACTCCTAATCCCCAAAAGGCCGGTAACGCACTTGTAACGCCTCTGGTGTTCCAGGTGTCCATGGGCGACGCCGATTGCTTACCATCAGGTGATCTGTCTACTCGTTTACCAGCTTATGCCATAAAAAAAATATCATCTTTATCTGTCACTATTTAAAAGACTAACTAAAGAGAACAAATTAAAGGCACGAGGACACCGGTGTCTTCTCTCACCCATCTTTATTGTAGACCTTATTACCAATGTTTAAAGAATACTTTTGTATGAAAAATGTTGGTCAAATATACGATATTGTAGATGACAACTTTAAGTATAAGTAATTAAGGATGAAAATGTCTTACCTAGCGGCGTGCTCGTCTCACCACCAGGAGAAGAAAGGCGACTTATGCTGGAAGCGTTGCTGGAACGAATCGAAGAAACGGGACGATGTCGACCCGCTCTTTGATCTGCGAATATTAATAAAAATTAATTGATATAAATTACATCATCATCACTGCCTCTTTGGCTGAGTGGTCGTAAGTGCGACTGCCGGGCAAAGGGTCTCGGGTTGGATTCCCGGGTCGGACATAGTATTACTGGGTTTTTAAATATTCTCAGTAGTAGCACGGAGTCTGGAGTTGTGCCCGGTATATGGCAATAGGCTCACCCCCTATTACATGGGACTCATAACATAAATAGTGAAAAGTGGGTGTTACATTGCAGTGGTATAATGTGCACCTCTGCCTATCCCGACACACTGACGAAGCTGCTGGCAAAAGCTAGTAAATAGTAATAATATAACATCACGCCTTTTATCCCCGAAGGGGTAGGCAGAGGTGCACATTACGAGACTTAATGCCACTGTACAATGTAACAACCAATTTTCACTGTTTATGTTATGAGGTATGTGGTGAGCCTATTACATACATCCTTACTATATACAATATTATAAATCTGAAAGTGAGTTTGTTTGTTTGTTCCACCTTCACGCCGTAACTACTCAACCGATTGCTTTGAATTTTTGCAGACGTAAAGTGAGAAGTCCGGATTAAATAATAGGGTACTTTTTAACCCGAAAAATATTGATATTCCCGAGGAAAAACAAAAGTATTGGTATAGATGGCGCTGTGTGTATATGTCACATAGGCTACTTTTTATTCTTTTGTGACGCGAGCGAAGCCGCGGGTAAAAGCTAGTAAATAATAATTCAGAATTATAATATACCTCTCGACGATGACGGCGGGCATCTGTACGAGTTGCACGGGACTCTTGTTGTCCTTGAGCGCTTGTGTCAGGTTCAATACCTGGCCGCGCATCACTGACATCTGACGCTCGAATAGACCTTTGTCGAAGCCTTTGTCTTGCTGTAATCATAAACAAATACTTAGTTTTGGAAAATATTAACTTATTTACACTATAGGGATGATTTTCCCACTCAAAAATAGACATAATTCCACTCAATCCTATAGCAATCAAAATAATCATTTTGAGGCGCCCAAATCGACACCGGTACGCTTTATTTGATATCAAACTTTTTTACATGGCAGTAGTTGCAATAATGGAAAGAAGATTGCAACTGCCTCAGAGTAAATTACCCATAATATAATTAAAGAAAAAATGAAAACATATTGTCAACTTACTTTGAAAAGTACATGAAGTTCGTCACACAGCTCTTGCACGAAGTTCATGTCGGATAACAATGGAAGTACTAGCTCCCTGCAAATATAAATAAAGACATCATATAAGTAAGCTATCTAATATATTATGTAGTATCATATATTATATATATATATTATGTAGTATCATATATTATATATAATATATTATGTAGTATCATCGACACAAACTGAGCGAATATTTTGCACTAAAAGTCTTTTTTTAATTACTAGCCGGCGACTTCGTACGCGCAGTCCCGTTTTCTCGCGTTCCCATAAAATTTTCAGGATTTGTTTTTCTATCGTAAGAACGTTCTCCTGAGGATAACAAACACAACAAAAACGGTCCAGCCATTCTCAAGTTATGGCGTGACAACGGGAAACGGGTTTCATATTTATATATATAGACTAGCAGTTCAGCCAGTATTTAGAAATAAATAGTTTTACTGTTCCAACACCTAAAGCAAAATAGATTACACAAACTAGAAAAGGCGTATTCAGTCCTTCTCTAAATATTCTTGTGATGTGAACCTTTATACAAGCATAGATTAACATAGGCGTGTGTTACATTAGAACATGTTATAAAGGAATTGAATATAGACGAATAGTCAATATAACTGACTTGGTCTCATGACTGAATGGTTGCTTGGCCTGCGGCAGCCAGGCCCAGTGGTAGGGGTAGGCGCGCCAGGAGTCAGGGTGCTTGAACGGGAACGCCAGCCCGTTGTCTATCGCTGCTATACGGACCTCGGCGCCGCGCCACTCCTGGGGATATTACAAATAATAATTATTATTATTATTAGATAAAAGATATCTACTGCTTAACAAAGGTTAGTATCTTACAGGGATATAGAGGGATAAATGGATATCCTAATCACCATGTTTGGCAATTTATTTGGGGATAGTTTAAATAATTAAATTGTTAAGACGCTGTTCCCTTAATAGGTGACAATGGTTACCAACCCTAAGGGACTAACAGCACTCTGATAAAACTGACTGCCTCTTTAGCCGAATGGTCGCAAGTGCGACTGCCGGGCAAGGGGTCTCGGGTTCGATTCCCGGGTCGGGCAAAGTATTACTGGGTTTTTACACAATTCTCAGTAGTAGCACGGAGTCTGAAATTGTGCCCGGTATATGGCAATAGGCTCACCCTCTATTACAAGGGACTCATAACATAAATAGTGAAAAGTCGGTGTTACATTGTACAGTGGCATAATGTGCACCTCTGCCTACCCCGTCGGGGATAAAATGTTGTTATGTTATGTTATCTCATGTCCAAATAAGTCATTAATTAGTACAAAGCATATAAGACTTACGGAGGGGTCTCTAAGGTCTATATCGCCGTGTGGCGGTTGTAGACCGGGCGAGTCGTACTTGATGAGCCAGTTGTCATTCCCGCGGTCAGTGTTCCGGATGATGTAGTCTAGTACTACTAGTCGCTCGAATTGGAGCTGGAATCTGAAACGAGGAAGGCATATCGTTAGAATAGTATCTCTTATGTTGATAAGAGTTACAAATGTGAGCTTATTTCTAACTCGCTACTTCCGCGCGGTTTCACATGCTCTGCTCAGCTCCTATTGGTCGTAGCGTGATGTTTTATAGCCTATAGCCATCCTTGTTAAATGCGCTATCCAACACAAAAAGAATTATTCAAATCAGACTTGTAGTTACGGAGATTAGCGCGTTCAAACAAACAAACAAAAAAACAAACTCTTCCGCTTTATATAATAGTTTATATCATAAGATGACGACTAATTAGATTGTCATCATTATATTGGCGACTAAAGCTCAGAAATACCTTCTTCCATTGACTTCCATGACAGTTAGAAGCGGTTGGAAGATAATTAAATTTACATCATTTTTATGGTATTTTTTTTAAGGGGGGAATATCATCGAATGGCTTCTCCCGCCTGGGTGAGGCGGGAGGGAGTGTCAGACTCTTACTGACTAAAAACCACCCCGTTCCTTCTCCTGCACTTCGAGCCGGAGCCCCGGTAACCTGTTAGGCTCTACGCTCTTTTCTTGAGGGTTTGAAGATAAAAAACATGTTTAGAATACAAACAATGAAAATCGCAGAGCTTTCAAATAATATTAAGCGTAAATTCCTAACTATCTACTGCCTCGTTGCCCGTGTGGTCGCAAGTGCGACTGCCGGGCAAGGGATCTCGGGTTCGAATCCCGGGTCGGGCAAAATATTACTGGGTTCTTTTTTTAAATTCTCAGTAGTAGCAGTCTGGAATTGTGCCCGGTATATGGCAATAGGCTCACCCCGTATTACATGGAACTCATAACATAAATAGTGAAAAGTGGGTGTAACATTGTACAGTGGCATAACGTGCACCTCTGCCTACCGCTTCGGGGATAAAAGGCGTGATGTTATGTCTATGTCCTAACTATCTACATACTGTAACTATTGGTATCCTTAAATAATAAAGTTAGAGATATATAATTATGTTCGCCAGTAAGTTTATAACTCACTTCCTCATGACATGTGGCGGCGGTGGGTCCTGCTCGAAGCGTCGCAGCCAGTAGTCTGCGTCCTTGTATCCCTCTACAAACAGCTGGAACGACCCCGCCTGCAAACAGACAACGCTATATTGTAGACCACCATATTTACCACCACGATTAAACTTTTTTTTCTCCTAATATATTCCCAACTAGCTTTTACCCGCGGCTTCGCTCGCGTCACAAAAGGATAAAAAGTAGCCTATGTGACATATACCAAAACACACAGCGCCATCTATACCAATACTTTTGTTTTCCCTCGGGAATATCACATTTTTCCGGGATAAAAAGTACCCTATTATTTAATCCGGACTTCTAACTTTACGTCAGTAAAAATTCAAAGCAATCGGTTTAGTAGTTACGGCGTGAAAGCGGAACAAACAAACAAACAAATTCACTTTCCGATTTATAATATTAGTAAGGATTCGTTTTTGAAGTCAGTTGTTTTGTTCTAGCTTTTATAGGCATGTTTCAGGCACACATCAACAGTCTATAAAGTGGCCACTGCTGACCAAATCCTTCTTCGCACACGGAGAAGGTTTGAGCATTAATCACCACAATTGCTCAATGCGGGTTGGCGATTTCAATAATTAGAAATAATAAGTCCAGGTTTCCTTGCGATGTTTTCCTCTACCGTTTGTCAGACAATATGTTTCAGACATAGCTGAATGTAAGTATAGTTAAGTTAACAAATTTTATACATGGACTCCATGTAGGAGCAATTGTTATCTGCTCTCAACAAACCGTTATGGTGGATACATTTATCAAGAATATAGTACACTATGGTTTTTGAATATCTTTCTATCTACTATCACATTACAGAGTTATACAGGCTGAGAATACTAAAGAAGTTAATGCAAAAAGGACTTTAAACTACGTAAGTTACGGTTCAATTTAAATAAACACAGTATTGTACCTTAGGCGGTAGTCCCATTCTGTTGAAGCGTAGATTGGGAAACTGTTCAGTGATGGCCCGCTTGAGTCGCGACCTCTCGCGGTCTATCCGCAGGTAGTTGAACGTTTCGGACACTAGCTTCACCACCTGCAAACATTCAAAACATCCACATAAATAAAAATGTTATTCACCAAACAAGAGCAAGTCAAGTCAAGTCAAAGCATTTATTTCAATTAAACCATAGTTTGGTATTTTTGAAACGTCAACAAATACAAAATAAATAATAGTCTGTCAGTCAGTCCGTCAGTGAAACTAGGTGAAGCTAGGTGCTCATTTCAAAAAGTAGATTCGAATTCGAAAAGTGAGGTCGACACACGCTGCACAGTGATAACGAGATGATGACAATTATCACTTAAGCCAATTACAGAGTTTAATTACATTTGTAAGACTAGCTCAACCAGAAAGTAATGTAAGGGAAGATTAAAAGGTAACACAATACAATATAATAATAAGATGCATCACATCAGTGAACTAAAATACAAAATATTACTATGTTGATACAAATCATTATTTTTATTTATTTTATTTTATTTATTAAATAAAACGTTGCCCCACACTAGGATTGCCTCCTGTGTCGTGGGTGCGTTTACAAACATACAAGTTCACATACACAATGACACCCAGACCCGAAACAACAATTTGTGGATCACACAAAGTGTTGTCCCGTGCGGGAATCGATCCCGCGACACGTTGCACGGCAGCCGGTTGCCCAGCCACCGCACCAACCGTGCTGTCAAGTTATAACAATATTACTTTAAACATGACAGGATATATCGTCGATGTTCTAGATATGTCCTAAACTGCGACCGGTATCCTAGAGGCGAGCTGGCAGCATTCCCTAATCAATCATATCAAGTCAGTACTAACCATAGGGATTTAGACCATTTAAGAGGCATTTGTTCAGCAGTCACTTGAATACAAAATATTTAATATTAGCTCTCTGTCTACCTCTTGAAATTTAAAAACTCTATTTATTAGGAATATCAGAATAAAATGTCTTCGTAGAGTTCGATAAGACTACAGCTTTCCCTTTCTTTGGTCGATTTTTTTCAATACAAACTAATAAACAAATATACTATTTATAATATTACTAGCGGACCCAACAGACGTTGTCCTGCATATCCACTTGAATGTATAAACAAAAATTCATTCAAATTAGTTCAGCTGTTGGATAAATAAAAAACGACTGCAGCGCCAGCTGCCGGGCTGATTTGTGAATCTAAACCATTCCCAGATCCCCTTGAACACACACAAAAAATTTCATCAAAATCGGTCCAGTCGTTTAGGAGGAGTTCAGTGACATACACACTCACAGAAGAATTATATATAAGATTATTACAGAATTTTGTTTATCCAAAGAGCATCTCAATTCGACACAAAGTTACGTTATACAAGACGTTGACCGACATACAAAACGAGTGAAACACAATCAAGGTCGATATCTTAATGAATACATAATCACGTGAGATTTAATTCTATGTAAGTTCGAGGTCATTCGGTGCGTCCGTACTGGATTTATTTAAGAATGTCTTTAGTAATGTAGTAGGTATTGTAACCAGCAAGTAAACCTATCCTTTTCTATTAAATTTCTCCATTACATCTTCAACTTTATTGCATTGACAATATAAAGTCGAAAATCTAATGAATACATTTGATAGGTTGATCTGCAGGTCATTGCACATAATCATTATAAATATTGTAGCGTATGGCACGATGCACTTTATTCCTTATTATATTAACGGCATAGTATTTTCCATGTACAGGTTTTTGAGGAAATAAATTACAAAATAGGGATTCGAATTCGCCTCTATGGCCCTCACGGGGTACGACTGTTAATGAGCATCACATGCAGTAAACAAATGTGTCTCAATAAGTATAAACTAAATTCACACGAAAATCGAACTTAAGACATCTTCGATACTAGAAGCTTTTGCCACATCTCGTCTCGACCATTGAGGTATTACATTTGCCGTAGACACATTTTAAAAAACTGTGTAACATGTCAAAGTACTAAGTAGAAAGTAGCGTATTATTACAATTATAGATTGAACCAAAATACTGATTAAATAATTTTATCTACGGGTACACGACCCACAGTGACACGTTGTCATTACACGGACCTTTAGCATACACATATTAGTTTACCTACCTACATACATAACATAATAAATATTAATATGTTTATTTTAGAATATAACAAAATTGTATTTATATTATACCCTTCGTGAGACATACTAAGTTAATTATTATGTTTTCGACTTACTCACGTAACTGACGAGGAACTCGACTAGTTTCAAGCCATGCTAGAGGCTCATATTCATGAGCAGCATTCCGAAACCCGCTACTCAGTAGCAGCATAATAATTAAGATTGTATTTTATGCAACACTACTAGTAGTAGATATATTTAATGCATTCTATTAATATAAATAACTCGTTTGATTAATATAATATTGTTGCTACATTTTTAAACTCATATTGAATTTGTTTCTTTACACAAACATAATATTGACTATACCAATATACCATTTTATTAATATACATACGGAGATTGTCACATTTTAAATTTTTGATACATTAAACAGAACATTTTATATGTACCGTTAGACGTACATAGATAGGTAAATAACAAATGCCTAATAACGACTGCCTCGTAGGCCGAGTGGTCTCAAGTGTGACTGCCGGGCAAGAGGTCTCAGATTCGATTCCCGTGTCGGGCAAAGTATTACTGAGTTTTTAAAGAATCTCAGTAGTAGCATTGAGTCTGGAATTGTGCCCGGTGTATGGCAATAGGCTCACCGTATTACATGGGACTCATAACATAAATAGTGAAAAGTGGGTGTTACATTGTACAGTGGCATAATGTGCACCTCTGCCAACCCATTCGGGGATAAAAGGCGTGATGTTATGTTATGTTGTGTAAATAACAAACACGTACGACATAATAACCAATATTATTTACTCCATACATATTATTCAAGTAAACACCTACTTATACACCTTTACCTAAGTATATTTATAGTAACTAATGTACCTTGAAACATACCAATGCCTTTTGATAAAATATGACGTCATACCTACGTGGGTAACATTCGCATATTCCCATAACACGTACGTACGTATTATGCGAAAATTTGCAGTTTTAATAAATTAGAATAAAATAATAATAATTATTATTAATAAGAGATTGATAATCAAAGATTGGTGATTGTAAGTATGGTATTACGTTATTTAAACTGTTCCTGGGTTATTTGCATTGACGTATGACGAAAATTGCGTGTGACTAGTTTCGAGTTTAAGATCTCGAGGCTATTTTTAGGTTGTGTTCCGGTTTATGCTAATAGTTTAAAGCTACTAGTAAATTATCAGGTTTCGATAGCTTAACTCGTCGAGTACCGTATTTATAGACACAATTAAAGAACAATAGGTTGCGGTCACCGGTGACCGCTCGGTGTTTGATAGTTTAAGAGCAAAAATTATAATTGCTAGTTTACTATGGATGAATCGTTTCAAAAAGCTTGATAGGAGAATTATTACTCTCAATCTCAACATATCATATTAAAGATCAATTTTCTTTATTATGAGTACTACAAATATTTTAAATGTAAAAGATCCTCAGGATTTATGTTTGTTACTCTTTGGCATAAAAATTACTGGACAGATCTGAATGAAATCCAGCACAGAGATTCTGGAACAACTTTAGTCTAATTTTTATCCAGGTAACGCGAACGAAACTGCTGGGAGAGGCTGGTATCCCAACGTATTAAACACTATCTATCTATATGTATAAATAAAAATGACTTTCCGTTCGTTAGTCTCGCTAAAACTCGAGAACGGCTGATCCGATTTAGCTAATTTTGGTCTTGAAATGTTATTGGAAGTCCAGGGAAGGTTTAAAAGGTGAGAAAAACTATTCATGGCGGTAATTATCAGCTAGTATTTAAAAAAATAAAGTTAGTATAAACTCCTACTGTTACACATCTCTGCAACACCTAACGGTTGATTGTTGAATGCCATTAGGCATTAAATTTGCGAAAGTACTTTTGAAGTGCAAAATGAATAAATAAACTCACCCTAGTTTTTGGCACGATCTTGAGGCCTATCTTGGAGTCGACGAGGCTGGCGCCCGCCTCGCTAAGGTACCCCTGGTTGGGTATCAGGCAGGAGCGCCCGAAACAACAGGGGCAGCACAATTTGTGCATCCATTTCGTCCACTTTGGATTTAGACGACCATACGGCTCCTCATCCTTTGGTTTAAAAACTCCTACGATTTTCTGTAATGTAAACAAATTGGTTAGACTTCTGTATGATATAATGTAAATTAGGTATTTTTATAGTATTTGTTTTGTAAATAAAAATTAATCATTGAATGTGTTGGTCAGTGCATAACTTAAAAATGGGGCTTATTCAATTCGGCTTATTCTTTTTGTGAAAATATGGCTACACGTCCGAGAAAATTAAGAATTATGGATGACTTTATACGAAGAAATACGCAGATCTAGTTTTATCTGACGGTTATGGTGATTGTTATAATCTTAGACATCTCTACGTTTTTACTAATAAAATAAAGATAAACATGTAACATTGGAATACTGTTATATCATCCATCTATATAAGCTATATGGGATAAAACACCGATATTATATGACGTTAACAATATTGCCGCTATGACACCTTGTAGCATAATACCACTTATCTAATAAATCAATGTTTATCAAGTTAAGCTAATGTTTGCATGATAACCTATCGGTGCATCAGGTGTACTTATACTAAATAATTTATATATGAACTAACGGACCTGACAGACGGTGTCCTGCATATAATCTAATAATAGGTATAGAATAATAACCTAGTAGCCGACTGCAGCGCCTTCTGCCGAGCTGATTTGTGAATCTAAACCATCCAGGGCGAAAGTCAGGTATCAAAACCTCCTTACCCTGCAGTTACGCCTGTGATAGCTGGGTAAACAAGGCTTTCTTAAATATTAATACCTATGTGTAATGTACTACCAACCTAATGTTACACATTAACATGTATTATGTAAAACCAATGTACGTAATAGAGTAATGCTTTATTGCTAGGCCGTGTTATCGGCGATAACTTGCTGTTCACATTAATAACAGCTTTCATTTTCCTTTCTGTGATAGCCCTTCTAATTGTTTGTACATTATTAGAAACTATATAGCATCTTATGTATGAATAACAAAACAAAAATGGCATGCCGTTTGATGTTGAAGAGTTGCATAGCCTGTTTTTGAAGTTTAACCCTTAAATAAACCAGTAATACGTTTTATTTTGTTTTATATTTTTATATAGTTAGATTTGTATCTGTCACACCAAAAGCAGGAGCTAGGCTTGAAGCACGTACTTCCCCAAATAAGACAGATTTTTTATACGCTCAGTAAACGACCTACTAAGTTAGTTACTTTAGCAGGCTTTGACTGACTGAGCGATTCCTTCTATTGTCAAGGACCTTTATTTAACTTTTAGGGCCGATTTTTCAATCAACAGATATTTTTTTTTTGCAGGATTAAATTTACTTTAGACATTATTTTGTATGAAAGAATTGTCAAAAATATTAAAATTATGCCTTCGATAAAGTTATCTGGCGTTGGAAAATCGGCCCTTAGTGGGATGTTTTCGTCAAACATAACGGATGATAGGTCTTTAAATTTACTCTCATGCATCGCAGACACTCCTAGTCTATATTATTGTATTTTTATCGGGTAAAGGAGCAGACCTCCTGATGGTAAGCGTTCAGTAAGAGGGGCTTCGTAACCTCATTTTGTGTTCCACTAGAACTTTTATTTCGCAGTCATACGTAGTATTCTAAAACATGCAAGTAAAACTGGTTAACTAATACCCCTCACTGCACAAAACCGCACGGTGGATGAACGTATCATGTTTAAACTAGTTGGAATAGCTGGAGAGCTGCAATTTTGCGGCAAACTTCTATATTGTTTCACATTCGCGTCGAAGTGTCGATTTAAACAGGTCGAGTGCTTATGTCTAGCACACTTGCATAACTGTTAAGAAAATTCTTCAAGCTAAGTGTGGAAGCTGCTTCAGCATAAATGGACCGGCTCGACCGAAATTATACAACGGCCTCACTGAAAACCGACGTGAAACAACGACATAAACAACTTTCGTCGTGTAAGTGAGGTTACCGCAGGCCTAATTACCTCCCCTCGCCAGTCTCCCCAATCCCCAAATCCCCCACAATCCTCAATTCCCAAAAGCCCAGTAACTCACTTGTAACGCCTTGGTGTTTCAGGTGTTCATGGGCGGCGCCGATTGCTTACCATCAGGTGATCCGTCTGCTCTTATACCGGCTTATGCCATAAAAAATCATGTCCATATGACCTATTTATCATTTAAGCTAACCATTTCGACCTGGACTGTATAAAGGGCACGTGACACAGAAACCCCAGAAATTACGAAGTTATAACTTGGAGCACGCGCCAGTCTCGCGTGTCAAGCCACGTGCAAATACCATAGGCGAAAATTGTATTTATAACAAATAATGAGTACGGGGTTTTGAGAAACAAATTATTGATTTCTAGGGAAGGTGGTTGTATTGTTTTAGTGTTGAGAAAGCAAAGTGTGAAGTGACCATTTTGCCGTTTATAATCCTTAGATAATAGTGGCCCCTTCCCTGTGAGTATATGTATTTATTTACCAGTCTAAACTAATTACAATTTCAAACTACTTTTTAACCAGTTAAAACTTTTAAAATTGTACAAACCCCAATTCAACAAACATGGGATTTACACTTAAGACTGACGCTATTGAATAGCGTTGGCAGTATTTTGCTATGCATATTCTTTTTCAAACAAAAAATTCAATGTAGATAATAAAATTATAGGTAGCTCACCCCTCCAGGATTTTTGACGAAATAGGACCCACTGGAGCCCTGGTATATCCTCTCCGGGAATATTCCATTGTCGATGGCCACCTCCGCTTGCCATACCAACTCGCTGAATTGCGGGTCATCTGCACAAAGAAACCACAAATTAATACAGACATTATATCAATAACAACAAAGCTTATATTTGAAGCTTATAGAAGAACAATGTGGAATGGTCCTGCAATGAAATGAAAGTATTGGAGTTTTGTGAGTTATTGCCAATGTATCGACGCTGTTTAGGTTTTGGGTTTTCATTATTTTCAGTGCGGGCGAGATTGGCTTTTTTTAAAGGGGCAAAATCATCGAATGACTCTGTTCCCGCCTGGGTGAGGCTGGAGGGAGTGTCAGACTCTTACTGACTAAAAACCACCCCGTTCCTTTTCCTGCACGTCGAGCCGGAGCCCTGGTAACCTGTTAAATTCTCCGCGACGACCGACATTGGCTTACAACGGCTTCATCATTAACAGCCTGCTGTCGTCCACTGCTGGATATACGCCTCCAATGTCACGCCATTGACCTCGATCTTCAGCTCTACGCATCCAACCGCTACCAGCCGCTTTGCAGATATCGTCACTCCAACTAGCTGGAGGGAGTCCTACACTACGTTTGCTTAAACGCGCTCTCACTTCAGATCACGTCTACGCCACTTCCTTGTCGTTAGTTCTTCGACAAATGTGATCGGCCGACTGCCATTTCAGCCAGTACAACGCCATGTAAACAACAAATCTAACTGCTGCTACATAGAGTAGAAAAATAATTCTCTATAACATGTTTTCGATCATGCAAACAAACTGCATGCGACGTTAACTTCGTTTGCCCCACTCAATGCAATGCTAAACCGATTTTTATGAATAACATAACATAACATCACGCCTTTTATCCCCACAGGGGTAGGCAGAGGTGTACATGATGCCACTGTACAATGTAATACTTTTCACGATTTATGTTATGAGTCCCATGTAATAGGGGGTGAGCCTATTGCCATATACCGGGCACAATTCCACACTCCGTGCTGCTACTGAGAATTTATAAAAACCCAGTAATACTTTGCCCGACCCGGGAATCGAACCCGAGACCCGTTGCCCGACAGTGGAACTTGCGTGCGACCACTCGGCCAACGAGGCAGCCAGTCAGTTTATGAATAATTAGAACAAGATTCCAAAAAAATGAGGATATGACTATATACGATATAGGAAATGGATAAGGCTGATGACGTTGAACATGTATCATTTTGAATACTACGAAACACATGGTACAGTGATACAATTCTGAGTAAATAGTTACCATTACAAACAATGACTCAGTTTCTGTATTTTTTATTTATTTAGCGTACGTGTACAATTTTTGATAACAGAATAATAGGCTTGGGTTATTACGATAATAAAAAATAACTATAAAGAAACCCCTTACAAGACATATTACATTACTGAGACTTCTTCGAATCAAGATTAAACAATAAATAGTTTATTTCTATTTGTCCTAAGGCTTTCACATGAATGCTCAGTTAGGTATACCTGGGTGCTTACTCTTGAATCCAATTCCGATCGATCGACATTGGTATTGTGAAATTTCGTACTCTTGAGTTGCAACACTAGCGCCCATAGCGTCCGTATTGCGTGGATATTGAATGAACTAAATGGTATTGAGTTTGGCTTTATTTTCCGTACTCTAAATACTATTTTAATAGCTACGATAGGGGTTATATTGTTTTGACATTGAATAATTATTGAGATTTTATTGGATTGAAATTGCATTAGCATTGAGATTGGATTCAAGAGTAAGCACCCAGGTCTTAACCAAGGACATTAAAAAAAGGCCGAAATAGTATCTTCAAACAACGACTGTGGCATCTGGCTACTATAGATTTACACGTAGAACATACACACATTGACACGAAGGACATCTGACATCTTCCTACGTCTGTTACCGTGGTAACCATTACACACGCACACATGAATAACCCACTGACATTTTGGTGCTTCAATCATTTCTAAGTGACATTATGTCCGGCTTTTTGTCAATGTCCTTGATATCTATGTATATGGAAATATACATAGATATACATAAATAATTATTACAATAGGAGTCTTGTAATAATTATTTTCCTACAATTACCTTAAGGGATTCGTGAGATTGAACGAAAAAATAACCATTTAATTTGGTAATATATACGTATATAATATACGTATTAGTAGATAGGTATAACTAGCTAGATATAGATAGCAATTTTAGCATAACTTCCAATTGACACAAGAATTACTAGGCGACTACCTTATCGTCATAAAAGATAAAAAACAACCTTGTCTTTAATTATATTGTTCTCAATGTACTGAATTTTAGTAAGACTTTTGTTTGAAAGTGTTGTTTTGGAGACACAAACATGACTATAAGTTTGATTCCAGAGGCGGGCAAAGAACTTCGGAGGTGTGGTCCACGGCGGCAGGGAGGAGGTCTGCCAGCGTGTATGTGTGTGTGTGTGTACTGTTACGAGAGTCCTTTAGGATTTCTTTTTTAAAAAAAGTTATTTTTTTTAATACTTAGTAGTACTACATGCATTTTAGACTGTGCCCGTTTTTGGGAAATAATGCCTTTTTAAAATATACACACTTATTATACCTAAGTAGGTGTTTATTCTATAGTTACAAGTACAAAATTCTCAGTAGTAGCACGGATTCTGGAATTGTGCCCGGTATATGGCAATAGGCTCACCCCCTATTACATGGAACTCATAACATAAACAGTGAAAAGTGGGTGTTACATTGTACAGTGGCATAATGTGCACCTCTGCCTACCCCTTCGGGGATAAAAGGCGTGATGTTATGTTATGTTACAAGCACCCTTTGCGAAAATGAAAGGCGTGATGTTACGATTTGTTTATAAAAATGTGTTTGCACTATTCTACGTATAATAAGATGTCCATTTGTAAGATTACCGCGTATCTCAGACTGATAAGGTAATCAGTCGTGACACTGGTGACTCAATGATATTTTTATTATAAGTAAATATGGTCGAATATTTACATGTCTAGCTCAGAATTATTATCTATAACACGCGATAATTGTACAATGTAGTTGATTATAATAATTATTGTAATTAATTAAGGGAACATTGAGCTTCACTTTCATAGAAAACTTAGCGAATAAGTACTAGCTCTCGAAATATAACTATTTTGTATTAAGATATTAGCTGACCCACAGCTGACCCGACAAACATCGTACCGCCTAAATTTTTTTCTCACATTTACCCATTGGATTTCCACGAACATTTCAAGATCAAATTTAACCAAATCGATTCAGTCGTTCTAGAGTTTTAGCGAAATTAACGAACAGAAATTAATTTTTATTTACATAGATTTTAATAGACTACTTCATCCTTGCCTCTTATGCTTTTCTTGTCCGTTTGATTGATCAGTAATGGCGTTTTACCGGTCCATTGTCTATCCCAAATGGCGACTATTATAATGTATCTTTACTAAATATTTCTAATCTCTAAAAATCTATAACAAGCAGAAATCTTCCAAAAATTGGCAACTTAAAATAGAAATCGGTGTCCTTATGTTATGTCAGCACAACTTATTTAATAAATTGGGATTAAGTCGAAGCAATCTAGTATATAACGGTAACTTTCTATGACATTAACCTTTAGGGACGACGTGATTGATCGAATAATGTATGAAATTTCATTAGTTGTACTAAAAGGTCACCTATACCCAAATGCTTAAACTTTTAGACGATGAAATGAAAATTATTACTTAACTTAAGATCTTGGGTTACAGTTTATCAATATTATAGATGAACGAAAATTAGAACAAGCAATAACAAAAGGTGAAACATCAAAAAATTATTAAAATTAAACTCTTTCAGACCACGTCCTTTGTAGACTAATTAAAATGATAGAATGAACAAAAATCGAGATATTTCACAACTTTTCAGAAGATTAAATCAGATTTATAACCTAAACTTTATGGAAAATAATACTCATTTACTCATATGGTTACGTAATCTTAGGTCATGACTTAACGCTAACCCTAAAACCTAGTTTTCTAATACAATGGCAGAGAAATCATGGCAACACTGTTTAAAGGAAGGAAGTTGCTAATCACATGTCTAGATAATTACGTGGAAGTCTTTATCAATAGTTAGGTAAGAAAACATATCAACATTATAAGCCCCATTAAAAATTTTACAACAAAAAATTAATAGTGATTAGATTACGTCATGTCCTTTTCTCCCCAAAGAGACAAGTATGTCGCAAGCTATTGTAATAAGATAGTCTGTTGTCATAAACAACACATGGATGAATAGAAAGAAAGAGAGCGAACAAAGGATATATAGAGATAAGATGAAATCCGATACGGAAGATGGAAGCGCAGCTTGCTTGCCGGGCAAAAATAGAAAAATGCCACACACACATGAACTTTGACATTATCACACGTGTATCAATTAACCTAGATAACATCAATAAATAAAGGTACATGTTTACACGTTTAGATTCAACCTGTATTACGTGGAAATATAAACACCCTCGCAATACACCTACGCTTCGATTTATTTCATTCAAGAGATGGAAATATAAAGCTTTTGTCATTTCAGATAAAGGTTACATTCCTGTACAGGGAGATGAACAAAATTGATTTAGTTGCCGTAAGGTGACGACAGTGTACAATTTGCTTGTGCTACCATCTCTACTCCTACGAATCGATTTCGGGACTACTACATATTTGACAGAGATCGGGGACTAGCCCTCTCTGATAACCCTGAACATTTTAAGCTGCAATATCCAACCCTTCTACCAAGCGTGGAGGTTACGGCATACTCTCGGGAGATCCATAGCAGCAGATAGATGGAAGAAGTTTAATTTTTTTTCGTCTTACAGAAGCAAAAATGACCAACAAGTCTTAATTGATCCCTTTTTCAAATTTTCATAGTATAATAGTAGAAATATTAATGTTATACGTCACACGACGTACGTTTCCTGTGCTAAAATGATATAGCAGTCGTGACGTCTGTTGCGTACGTTGTACCTATTATCCTACAAAATGATTGTAATGCTGGGCGTACATTACGAATTTACGACTTACGACATC